AAGAACTCGGAAGACCGAGCTCCCCTCTTCGCAATCCAAAAATGTCCATTAACTATCCATTTCACCATAAACGCAATATCCGAAGTGACTGAATAGCGATCGGATATTTTCGCAGGATGGAATGAGAAGATCTCATTCTCGTCAATCCCAGGCTTGAAGTGATCCATCGAACCCGTGAAAAATATTTCTTTCGAAGCAGAGCAAAATTTCTGCTCGCTCTTGGTTCAGGGAAGCGACGGGAGCGTGATTGACGACGGAGACCGAAGCCTGCGTGGGCTTAAATGCTCTCAAATGACCGGCATATCCATCCTGAATCTTCTTCAAGATGGCCATAATTCTTCCACTAATTTACGAAGGATGTTACGTCAAATTTATGAGCGTCATAGAAAATTATATTCAGTCTCAAGATGTAGAAAATCTCGCAACAGAATAATCGTCAATCATCCCACAACTTTACCCGCCATGAAAATGCGACTTCAAACAATTAAGGAACTTGTATCTACTTCAGTCCAGCGTGGCATAAAAGAACATTATTGGTACAAAGCCCAACGAAACAGATGCGACGCGAGTGATACACAATATTGTTTGCTATTCGCAACAGCGCCCAACCCCAGAAATCTCACTACGAAATATGATTTTTCATTACCACATTTGAAATATTCGGGAAATTATAGGTAAGATGGTAGTAATAGTATACAAACAAAGCAGCATCAGTCAACAGGAAACTATTAATGTTAGCCAAACTTTAAGATAAAAAAAACTTCGTTTTAACTGAATATCCGCGGGATTATTATTAACCTACCACCTTCATTTTTTCACAGAGTCTTCACTGCATGCAGAACAACATCAACACAGAGAGCAGCAAACTGTAATTACAACAAGGAAATGAAGAGCAACGGCAGCGTGCGTGCGATCTGCGAGAGACGCGAGGCGGCGCTCACAGCCGATGCAGTGGAACAGAGCCCACATTAAAAAGAGTTGTTCGCACTGCACCAGTGATTTTAATTCGGTAAAGCGTGCCTCGCTCCAATAGATGCAAAAATTAGCTGGAAAGCAGTAGGCCAACAAGCCTCTAGATCCACTCAACGAAATTAGCTTCGGATTGCAAAGCCTGCTTGACCCAATGCTTGCCAGAATTAATATTTAGTCAAACGTGCAATTTAAATCAGACAAAGCGTTCGTATAAAAATATCGGGCAAAGGCGATTATTTGCATCTAAACAATTACATCATGGTTTGTCAAACTCAGCTTGATGAGACCCATCTGACTTATTCAAAATCATCTACCTGATGTCAGATGACTTCCAATTCGATTTGTTTTCACATAGGAACAGAAAACATGTTTCTGTGCAGGTGAACATGAGATGTAGGCGTACATTAAATAGTTTTTTGCACGCAGGCATAATCAATTGTTCAGTAGTGATGAGGGGTTGGTGTAAAGTATGACACTGACTATAATACACAAAAATACAAACAAAGAGAAATAAAAAAATTAATTTAACATAATCTGAAACCATTTTGATCAACAAAAAGTCACAAATCAATATAATTGTACGTTATCTGTGGATAAAATTTATAGAAATGATTCTGGAGAAATCAAAGATAAATCTGAAAAAGTCAAGACGTAAAATATTACACGTACAAGCATAATAAATCAGCCTTAAATATAAAGGAGGAACAAACTAAATAATGATATTCACTGTTGATCAGTCATTAATTCCTCTGAATTCATACAAAAAAAAACTTGGTACATTCAAACTTGTATAGACCAAGTCATTGATCCACCGCATTTATAAAATATCGTCCAATTGGCAGTAATTTAACAACAGTATCCTTGAACTGAAATAAGGTTTCTTCAACAACGGTTACTCTAATTCACTCTTCGCCGATATCCTGAGCCACTACATCGTAAAGATCAGCCACCAAATGACAGGAGACCCAACAACTGATGCAATAAATCCCTAACTCGTAAATTACGTTCAGTGACAAAATCAATATTCCACTGCATACAAAACTAATTAACGAATCCTCAAGAATCAGAAACAACGTCAAATTTACGAACGCCATCCACCGGATACGATTGATTATCTGCTACAAAAGCCCCACGATTGTTCCTAAGTAATGCACCAGGCTTTAACAGACATCAAAAAATGGAAGCGATTCTAATTCAGCGAAAAAATTCACACTTTAAAAACCAATCAACTGCATCTCAACGCACTCTATAAGTTCACAACTAGAACGACTAACTGTACACTGGATCACATCATTCAACACTTTAATTAGTCTACTTCCCGTAGCCATCCTGGAAGCACCTTGTCTACTCAGCTGCTCGTTTCTTACAACTAAAGATGCTCAGTGATGAGCGAAACACGTCGCCGGATTTCGCAAACCTATCATTTCGAGAAATTTTAGAACTTGTTGACTCTACTATTGTATCTATTATTATGCAGCTAGAGAAACTAAACTCTAAAAAAAGTTCTATATAAAAATGTTATTCTTTTCAACCAATCTTGTCAAAATCATGGGTTCTGTCTTAAATATCCCCAACATGTATATATGCATATATCTGCGAATATTGAAAACAAAAATCTCGAAAACTTTATTAATGCAATCTAGATATTAGCATGCAAGGTAATTTAGGGAATTGCCAATTGCAAAGAATCGTAATATTTCATGAAAACGTCCAAACGATAGAATTGCAAGGTAAATAATTTGAACATTGAGAATTAAATCAATTATTGCAGTGAAATCATAGTTAAAACAAGGCTTTTAATTTTCTGGTTCACGTGTTATAGTTACAGCAATGTGAATGACATCCAGCGCTATACAGGAGCCAATTACAGCCACTCAATCAACATGCGGTGGCTTTCTGGCGCGCCAATCAGCTCGCAAGCCACACGATAACTCCATTGGCCTGCGATCACAGAAATACTGCTTTGAATTTCGGCTTATAATACCCGTGTTGAGCAAATGCAATTACGCCAACCTTGCATTCATTATTTAAGTTCCTAATTGCCTGACGCGTCGCTCAAAGTCACTCTACGCGCGGTGTGTGCTTAGTGCTAAATAACTTATATTATGTTACGTGCAATAATTATGGAACATGGCACATACACAAAATATGGCCAAACATAAAATAAACATAAAGACGTGCTTTGTCGTATTTTCGAAAGTCTTGAGGCTCGCACATATACTTGATGTAAGCAATAAAAACTACCCGTGAAAATAAGAGTATCAGTAGAATCTTAATCGTTCAACTTCGTGAGATCTCATCGACAGAGTAAATCGAGTCTAATTTATTTAAAATTTTAAACTATAACTCAGAAAACTACTAAAAATCAGCCATATGGTTGCAGCTTCATAAAATATATTAAACTTGCATTATTTATTATTTATGCTGACCAAATAATCTTTAGCAAAGAAATTCTCTTCAAAACTGAAATTTGTCCCGATCCTTATTCTCACATGCCAAGCTCTCTCATTCCATAGGCCCACTGTCCTTTTAAACGGTCCCACACGGCCTCAAGTTCATAAAAATTTAGACTCGGGCCATGCAGGGCCGATGTTCTTCCGGCACAGTGTCGTCCAACAAACTCGAAGCATCAATTGATGAGCAAACTTCTCACGGAGTTCGGACTCGAACTTACCAAAGCTTTCAAGGACTGAGGGGGCGGCGAGGGTTCCTGTGATCAAGCTTTGGATTTGGCGAGCCGTACCCGCTAGAGCAAGAGCATCTGTAATTCAACCCACCAGCAGGTTGGTCTTCTAGTCAGGTCACGAGCATCAAAGATTTGGCTAATAATGCAATTTAAGGTTTCCTTAACAAGCGACTGGATTGCTCGCTAGAAAAAAAGCGGCATTGCTCTTAAGGCAAAAATATTCTTCTGGTATAACTTTCGTGCAAAAGTATCGCAAAAACATATATATTAAAATCACGTTATTTGTTTCTATTGATTTTTTAAATGTAAGTATTCTTTACTGGAGAAATGGGCTTCCATACACTCGAGAGAATTTCTCAAGGGAATAGAAGCGACTTGCTGGGGCCAGATACTCCATCGTAGTGAAGGCGGCTAAATTGATTTAGCCCCAACGCTGGACACGTCCTAAAACGACTCCACGCGTGACACAAGCTGTACCTGATGTCCAGTATGGTATTCCAGCTACCCCTCATCTCAACACCTCGTCGTCGATAGGAATTCTCAATCTACCTCAAGGCCTCGATATTGTCAAGGTAGGCGTTTGTTAGTTGCCTTCAGAACACGTCGTTGCGCAGCCAACAAAATAAGCTGAACATCCCAGGGAATATAGTATTAACGTGCATGACACACAATTTTAGTTTGCGTTTTTTGTACGTTTTGCAGTTAAACTCTTGCAAGGGAATTTATGGCTCGTACAATCGTAGCAATTAGCAAGCAAGTTAACCGAAAAGATTGGAAGATTGTTACATTGACCGGGTCTAAATACAGGCAACTAATTCGCCATTCATTATTTATGAATATAATGGAATCAAAAACTTAAAAATGTTTATAGTAACGAAGAGTACGTCTAATAGGAGGAGTATTAATTCTGCAAATTTAAATCAGGTTTTTAAAAACGTAATGCACTGCTAGCGAAGCCAGACTCGCTCATCGCATTTTACCTAGGAATATATCGGTACTACATCGGTTATAGAAAATATTGGTAAAAGTAGCAAAAATTTGACTTACGAGGCAGGCGTGCTTGCAGCAATTCTGTGTTGTATGCATTGTGCATTAAGGACAGCTGATCACTACAGCAACTTGACAAAACCATGATTATTAATAAGGATAGTGCAGCTTAGTTCTAGACGGTTCCCGGAAGGAAAAAGTGACTCCATTACAGAGAGGCAAGCTGAGCGGCTTAGCAGAAGCACTTTCTCGGATATACCGTTAATACTCTCCAGCGGGCAATATCGCATAGGGCCGGCACTGGCTGGGCCTTTGAAGGACAGCGGCCACAGGCTGGGTTTCTGCAGGACAGCGGTCACAGGCTGGGTCTCTGCAGGACAGCGGTCACAGGCTGGATCTCAGCAGGACAGCGGTCACAGGCTGGGCCTCTGCAGGACAGCGGACACAGGCTGGGTCTTTGAAGGGCAGCGGCCACAGGCTGGGTCTCTGCAGAACAGCGGTCACAGGCTGGGTCTCTGCAGGACAGCGGCCACAGGCTGGGTCTCTGCAGGACAGCGGTCACAGGCTGGGTCTCTGCAGGACAGCGGACACAGGCTGGGTCTTTGAAGGGCAGCGGCCACAGGCTGGGTCTCTGCAGAACAGCGGTCACAGGCTGGATCTCAGCAGGACAGCGGTCACAGGCTGGGTCTCTGCAGGGCAGCGGCCACAGGCTGGGTCTCTGCAGGACAGCGGTCACAGGCTGGGTCTCTGCAGGACAGCGGCCACAGGCTGGGTCATTGAAGGAACTGCAGGACAGCGGACACAGGCTGGGTCTTTGAAGGGCAGCGGCCACAGGCTGGGTCTCTGCAGAACAGCGGTCACAGGCTGGGTCTCTGCAGAACAGCGGTCACAGGCTGGGTCTCTGCAGGGCAGCAGTCACTGCATAGATTTTCGCTTTCCAATATTCAAAGCGTCATAAGTGTTGAGTAAATGTCACGACCTGTTGGTCTGAGGACCAATTTTACGATATGTCGAAGCCACAAGACGATGAGACGCCATCTTAAATCCATGAGCAAATGGCACGAGATCGTACATCGAAGAGCCGATTTTACGTGGTCGTAAAAGCCAGAAACACAGTAAACGTGGTGACCGACATGAAGCCCAACGGGGGAAGCTAACAAGGTCATCATTAATAGGGTTTAAGCAAATTTGCATTAGTTTGTCATCTGACATTATTTCGCCTAGGCGCAAAGTACGTAAAATAGGGCAAGTGAACAGTCAAAAATCAACCATTGTTGAACAAAATTTTTCTCCATAAAAAGCAGAGCAACACGGCAAGACCTGTTGAAGGAAAAAAAAGAAGGAAAAATGAGAAAAGGGAGCAGCTAAATCAAATGATGGCTGCTTATAAGCAGGCAGGTAGTCAGCAGCCGACCGCCCTGCAACAGGTCTACACCGCCGGTCTAATGAAGCCCCAAGGCGCCGCCGCTGCTCTGTTTCATTAAGTGTTCCATCGAAACGACCCCTAATAAGACCAGCCCCAGCTAATCGCATCCTGCAATCAATACCTGACCCTGGCACAATTTGCACCTAACAGTGTCACCGAAGTGAACTCAAGCAAGACTATCGGAGGAACTCAAGAGAGCTAAACGGATTGCGGAGATTTGGGATGAGAATTGATATGAAGACGATCAACATGGTAGCAGCAGCAAGGAAGTCGTACAGTTTGTACGGGAGTGTTACCAAACTTACCTTGAAAATTATGTATATGAACCAAATAGAATAATGGAATCAGTTATTTCTTATTTTCTTAATATTACACGGTTACTTTTACCCCCTTGTATAAGATGGCAAGAACAGAAAAAAATTAAGAAGGAACGGCAGTGCATACGGTAGTCCCAATATTTACGGTCCCTGGTCATCGTGAGAGAGGAGTTTTCTGCGACATGAGATTTCTCCAACGTACGGTCCAACGTACGGTTGTGCCCAAATAGAACAAATTTAAACTGCCCTTAATAAATGCCCTCACATGCCTTAATTTGCGCCAACAACAGCCTCAAAAATAATAAATGAACGCCAAAATTCAGCCTGTATTGGACGAAAACTTTTACAATTGAAAATATAATCATTTATTCCAAGCTCTTAACACCGTGATCCATTCCATGCAAAAAAATTAGCTCCTGTACCAAAATATGAATATTTTTTCTAAGGGAATTTTGATAGGAAGCTTCCGTGAGCAACAATTAAGCGGCGCATCACTCCGTAAGACATTGGTCGCATTTTTATTCCATAAATAATGAAGAAAAGTTGCTTGTGCAGCGTCAACTCTCGTGAAATTTCAAGAGCTGAACGGAACGTCAGACGAACCTCACCGCTTACCAACGAGTTGAGCTTCAACTGCATGGTTCTGAACCAGTTTTAAATGCTTCATTCTGTCATGACTATAATACTATGTTGTGATTTTAAAAATAGTTCCTGCAGCTTTAAGAAACCGACCCTGTAGTCAATGTTTTTACAGTTGATTAGTTTAGAAAAAAAATGAAGTTACGGTTGTTCGCACTGAGTTTCATTGATGTTTTTCGCCAAGTTCTGCTGCGTTGACACCAACGGTCATGCAGCCTCAGACGGGAATAGAAGCTTGCAGATTTGCCGATTTTTAATGGCATTATTAAACTGGTCGGTGCTCCTACACTCAATTCAACAGCTGTTCTCAGCTCGTTGAATAACAGCTGCTCGAAAAAGCTCGTTCTCAGTTTTTGGCTTATATTTTATGGAGAAATATGACAAAATTACGCAAATTTTTACAGCCTATTGATACCTAAATTCCATATGAACAGAGAAGTGATGTATTTTAACAATAGCAAAATAAACTCTAATATAAATATTAGTGATTAAACTATTTATAGCTAATTGAAAATCACTCAAAAATGTTTAAAAAACGTTAATGAACACAAAACAGTCGCAAGCAATTGCCACAAGCGGATCAAGCACATCAATAATTCATCTTCGCGGAATAAAATCTATTTTGCAGATAATAATTTGAAAAATGATTAAGCCATGGAATAATTTGCACCCTACAAAAAGTATTTACGCCCATATGGCTCTTCCAGTATGGTCGGCAACAAAATGAGTATAACATGTATCAGAAAAGCCATAACGGACATATTTAACACCGTTAACTACGTCGTTTAAACATTAGAAATATGTCGTTCAAAGATTAGAAACATGTCGTTTAAACACTAGAAACATGTCTTTTAAACATTAGAAATATGTCTTTTAAACATTAGAAATATGTCTTTTAAACACTAGAAATATGTCGTTTAAACACTAGAAATATGTCTTTTAAACCCTAGAAATATGTCGTTTAAACACTAGAAATATGTCGTTTAAACATTAGAAATATGTCGTTTAAACCTTGGAAATAATATGTCGTTTAAACACTAGAAATATGTCTTTTAAACATAAAAACATTAACTAGAAGAAGAAGCTCCTCACAGCAGCAGGACGAGTGAGGGCGAGGAGGGTATAAGAGTAGCAGCCCTCGCGGCGACGCTGTGGACGCTCTTTACGGCCGGCGCCTGCGAGGGGTGACGTCGCGCCGGGGCGGAGAGAGACTACAGGAAATTAAAGCTTTCAGGGCGCCAGAGGATTGAACAGGAAACTAATGTAATGGGAAGCAATTAAATATATATTAAATCTATGAAAAAAGTGAAAGTTTTAAATTCCAACAGCATTTAACACGAGAGATATATTTAAAGAAGTGCGTATAGTTTCTGGCGTATAGCATCACGTGATGTAAGCGCTCTGTGAAAACCAGTCATTTGAAGAAAAAAAAAACATTCAATTTCTTGAACGCTGTCTTATTGACGCTATCGGTACATAAGACTACTATAATCCTTCTGCTACACAAAAGTCCCGAAAATAGCCTTGATATACAAATAAAGTGCCATTTCTGCGACAAAAAGAAATTGCCAGAAACATTTGAAAGCTTGACCAGTGAAACTGTTTCTAGACCAGTGAAACTCGCGAAAGTCTTCTTGACCAGTGAAACTCGCGAGATGGGCAATATTGTGAACGATATGTACCTAGACAACAAGCGCATTCAATTATTTTGATGTACCCTCGTAGTGACACTAGCTTCGTCGCAGACTTCAATTGCACGTTTATTCATCCACCGCCGTAAACAAAGTAAACTTTCGTTAGCTTTCACTTCACTCGGCATAAGCTAGAACTGCGTACCAGAATTTCGCTAAACATCATTTATTTTTCGTGGTCAAGATTTATCTTTGCGACAGAAAATGTGAAAGGCAATTTTGCTTCACCACTTCATGAATCCATATTCCACGCATAACATATATTAGCAAACTCCATGCATAACACATATATTAGCAAACTCCATGGATAACACATATATTAGCAAACTCCATGCATAACACATATATTAGCAAACTCCATGGATAACACATATATTAGCAAACTCCATGGATAACACATAAATTATTAGCAAACTCAATCTTCATCCTACAAAGTTTAAAATTCAGCTACCCAGAGGCGACCTCGCGTTACTAAAAATCGAACACCGAGACCTTTCGGCCGCTCACTGCACGTTACGACGACCAGGATTGGCGTTAGACACTTGGAAGTTTCATAAAATATCCGACACTCGTGGGAGCAGATGAGCGGTGAATCTTTTACTGAGCACTAAAGCTGCAACTTTGCGAGTTTACGAGAGAGACGCACGGCACGTGAAGGACGAAGGCAAATTTAAGCGAAGCTACCAACCAAATTCATGTGTTCGAAGAGGGTGAATTTCACCAAAATATATGTTCATTTCGCAACAAGGACTTCTCCCAAATCCCTATCTTCATATAAGCAGTTTTTTATGGAAAGTAAAGAGTCCGAAAACTTTTACCGGCTATACGCTGTGTTCGGCATGAAATAATTAGAGTGCAAACCCACACCAACAAACGAAATAATCCGAGCATTTTTTAGCAACTGATTCGAATATGTACTTATAATTAAACTACTAATTAGTCAAGAAAGCGAATTAATATCAATAGCAATTTTGAAAACAAATTACGAATGGACTCAAATAAAAGGCCCTAATTAGATAATGTTTAGAAATTGACTCGAAATGCTTGGAATTATATATGATTATTGGAAGCTGTTCAGAAACCGATTCATTCCAGGTGGGAATGAATGCAGCTTTTATGTCAGATGAATGCAAGGTAATACAAACCAGTCGTCAAATCATGTACATAAATAAAAAATAACTTGAATTATGGTACTTGATTTTAGCAATCATAAGATAACTAATAATGAAATAGGAATTGGGTGGAATCGGAACCAACAGTGGAAAATGGTATCAATAAAAAAGCCTTTGTTCGGTTCTTGCCTAAGTGTCAACGAGTACTCAACGTTTTTCATTAAAAGACTGTACAGAATGAGACATCAAGTTTTAAAAAATAGATCGGGGGCCATTGACATATTCCATTCCGGAATTTCACTTTACAAATGAGCTTCACAGAAGTATATCAGAAAGATGACAAAAATAGTTTCAATAATTCCTATTATTTATTGTAACTATGAATGGAAAAGCTCACAATTATGAGTATCTATAATATATTATAATATATAATTATATGATCCAAGATTTTTTTAAAAGCACACTCAAGATAACTCGAGTACACTACTCTATATATATATTTAATCGGGTAATCCTCGTACATATTTTTTATAACATTGGGATCGATCATATATTATAAAGAATATTTAGCAGCAACAAATAAATATTTACGACAGTCAATCCTAAATTAAACCATTTTCCCGGCCTTAACATTCTTCCAGCCAAATCCAGAAAAATA